TCATAAATTATCTTTTGCCTTTTTAACAACTAATTAATGTAGGTATTGAAATTAGGTACTAGTTATGAAAGAAAAGTGTTTATTTATTCAATTCAATTTTTTTTGTCGTACTCAAAATTTTGGTCAATTAGTAGATATTGTAATCTTATTAATCCTAATAATGAAAAATTCTTAGTTCAATGAATTGGATAGGTATTGAATATGAGCCTTTAATTTTCAACACCAATGGATCATTATAGTGGTCCCTCATCAACTAGGACAAGCCTCATTTTCCACAGAATGTCCTTCGTTGTTGGCAATCCTTTTCTTTGTTTATTATGAGGTACCAAAAAAAAAATTAAACATTATTATAAATTTCAGGTTGATTTAGACAATAAATAAGAAATTAGTGGGATTTTTATGAAATAGACAATTGGAAGAAAAGGATTTCATCAACAATTATGTTGTCAAGGAAATGTCAGATCTTTCTTATGTACGCATCAAAATTGTGCACAAAAAAAGTTGTTGAAGTCGATTATCTTTACACATCTGATTTCTTCTTGTTTTTCAAAATTTCAATTTTTGTGTTAAAAAGGATTTTGCCCAAGTGTGTACCATGTGTAAATGTTGAAAATGCACAAATGCTGTCTAACCTTTTCTTTTGGTCTAGATTTGATAGAGAAGAGTGGACCACATGGACAAAGCCATTTGACGTAGGAAAATCAATGTTATCAATGGAAAACAAATGAATATAAGGTAACAACGAATTAAATATAGAACAAAAAGAAAAAAAAAGAGCAAAATATACTTGTACTAAAACATGTTTTTGAGTAGGCTTCGATATTACAAGAAGGGTAATTATATTACCACAACAAAATTTACTTGTTACACCACAATTTTAATCAATTTTTTTCTTTACTAATCACCCTAAGTAGAATTACTTTATTGCCCATAGTTTTATATAAATTCTTAACATTAACATTTTTTTAGATACACCACAATCACCATCATTTATATTGGAGTCTCCTTCCAGCCAGTTATTAATTCCAGTTTGCTGGCATTCAAACACCATGAAAGTACTTATGTATCTAGATAAATAATGCAACCCTTCAAAAACACAGTCCAATAAGAAGAAGCAAAATGGCACCCCTTGAAAATAGAAGGAGAAGAAGCAACAGGGCACCCCTTGAACAGGCTTCACAAATGCAAATTTCATAAATTCCCTTAATTTATCCAGCGCTTGAGGCATTAAAATGTCGGTGGCTTCATCCAAATCTGCCACCTGAAAACTTTCCCTCGTATATTTCTCCTCTAGGCACATTGGTCCAGCAAAGCACCACCTTCTCCACTGCGTGATCATAGTAGTAACACCGCAATATGGTTCAACTTTTCCCTTTCTTCTTCTTTATCTTCCACTTCTTTGAAAAAATGTTGTAAAACAAACAAGATACCAGAATAGCTCTGATATCAATTGTTGTAAAACAAACCATCAGATTGAGATTTTGAAATTATATGGTAAATAATAATGAAATATATGATCAACCAAAAAAATATAAACACAAGAATATTGCAAATGAATTAAGAGATTTTATTGACTCAAAAATAATTGAGAAAAGAGAAAAATTACAATAGATTTTATAATTCTAGTAATCTATTTTCTCACATCATAAAATTGTATACAAGAGCCTTGTATTTATAAGGAACATGTAGGAGACATCCAAACCATCTTAGTAGAGCTGTTGATGAAGTAGGATACCAAAAAATTAAGTCCAAAATAAATTTCAACTCTCAATGAGCTTACAAAATAGAACTTCAACTTGATATAGGATTTCAATAGCAATCCAAACTGAACTCTTCTTGATGTACACTTCAATTAGAATTTTTCAATTATTTCAATAAGGAATTTGGGTCACACCCAAATTCTAACAATCTCTACCTTGACAGAAATTTCACCAAGGTATGAACGACTTCTTCAACAATAACCAAAACTGCTTTTTCCAACCAACACAAAATACTCCACCTCTTCCAATGAATCCAAGCACTACTCTCCATAATTATTTCAGATTCCCAAAAATCATAATGATTTTACAATTTACCAAAATGGGTCATAACACACCTCAAATCAGAATCAAACACAAATGTTTTTAAAGAAGGCACATTGATAGATTGTACACCTTCTACTCTACTTAAAGCATGCTCAACAAAATCAGCATCCACATACCCTTTTCTATTGCGCCAGTCACTCACAATTGAATACAATGGTATCACAGGTAATGGTGGCAAAGTGGCATTATCCATATCTCCTGAACTCCACTGAACTGTATTCTTCAAATCCGACCATTTATGAGCTCCTAAAGGTATTGTAGCAAACTGAATGTCCACCATGGTCCTGAACTTGTGCTGATTGACTCTTCTAAATTATGCACGACCCTGTAAGATGTATAACTGAGATATTTTATGTCCCTCCAATACAACTTGGGTACCCTTACAAACCTTCAAGGCTCCACCTGCACCAAAGAACTCATAAACTTTTGAATCAATGAAAGACTACGAGATGGGATTTTTCTAAAATATGGAACATGTCGAACTTGACGAAGTGTTCTAATTGTCCCATCCAAAATCTTCAATCTGAATGTACCAATTTCAACAACCAGACAAGATGTGTCGTTTCCTATAGCCATGACACATTTGGAAACAGTTTCATATATAACAAACAGGGCCTTATTAGTACACATATGAAACACACATGCTGAATCAAGAATCCAATCATCTTCCGATTTAGACTGAATGTTAGAAATAACTAATAGATTTCCATCATTTACAACGTTCTCCACGAGGTCTGTTTCACCTGAAGTA